GGAATAGAATATATGCCTTTTCCTCCCTCTTGACTAACCTCTTTTCACAGGAGACGGTGAGCAGTCTCCTCCTGTGCAATTACTATCTCTGAAAACCTGCTACAGAGTCAGCTATGGGTCAGTTCCAACTCAATAAGACAAAACAACAACAACTACAACTCAGTGATACACAACCACCACCATCTCTCTTCAAACTTTATATCTCAGCCTAGGTATTTCCTCTTTCCTTGATTAAATTTGGGTGTTTTATGCTTACACCACTACTACACTTCTCTCAGTGAAGTTGTGTATTGAACAGTGAACTAAGTTAATTCTTTCCCCAGAGAAGAGTAAAAATATCAAAAATATCATTAAATTAAGCCATCAAACACAAAGAAAATAATAAAGGTGTTGATGATAGAGACTTATCACTATTCAAGCTTTTAACATTGCACTTGACACATAGAAAGCATTTAGCAATTGGTTTGGGTTTTCTTTCTTTCTAATTCTAATTCCCTTATGCTGTATATAGGAATAGTTTCATCACAGAAAAAACCATTTTTTTAAAATTCATTTAAGTGTCCAGTGTCATAACTAATAAATCTAGCCTTGTGTCATCTGAACCTGGATGTCTAAATTGAATGGGGCAGGGTCAATGCTGAAAATGGAAAACCAGAAAAGAGGATCTTCTTGATGGCTTTATGGACTCATGTCATAATTGGGTGGTGAAAGAGCTGATTATTCCTTCCTGGAGCTGGGGTAGCTATGAGGGGAAACTTCAGTATCTTGGCAGATAGAGAGATCAAGTGAAGGGCAAAATAGAAACATCTCCACACCTCTCTTTACTAGTGCTGCCTAAGGACATCCAGGAGATTCTAATACTTAGTCTCAGCCACCTTAAGACCCTTTCATTTGAACTAAGCTGATAAGTGAAATATATAACTCATTGCCAGAAGGTATAGTATTGTGCAAGAAATGTTCAGTCATTACACTTTCTAGGGTGATGGCTGATGTCATGCTATGTTGCACAATGAAATATCTGTTTTCAGTTCAGATTCCAAGCAGCAAGTCACTCTTCCCATCAAAATGCTGATTAGGCTAGAGAGGACACGTACACACATATATAAAACAAAAACAACCAACCGTAAATATAGAAGAGTGGGGCTAGACAGGTAGGAACTTAGAACATCACAGTTATTCTGGAAGTTTAGTAGTATAAATCTGCCAATAGACCTTAAAGGTTGTGTTTGAGACAATAAAATACAGGCAAATAATGAAGGATTTGATAAGTGGTCCCAAAGCATGCAAAACTAGGTGATGTAGAGCAAAATAATATGGGGCAAAGGAGAAAGTTCTTAGGCCATGGAAGAAAGACATAGTTATATTAAAACTATTTCCTAGACCACCATGATTAAGAACTTGTCCTTTAGAGAAGACCATCATAAGAGTGGTATAAGATGCTACAGGTTTTTCTTTTAGAATGTGTTATACATGTAATATTTGTGCAGGTTTACCTCATATCTGAAAACAGAAAGTTCTGAAAACATTCACCAGCTGAAGTGGTGTAAAGTGGAGAAACAGTGACAATTAATTTATATGAAAATATTTTTAGCTTTCCTGAACTCCCAAAACAATCTATCAGTTAATACCAAATAATAAATTAAACGGAACATAACGTTAACCCATAATGTACACAGACACAGTTTAAAGCTGTGGTGGTTTGATTCTGAGATGCTGAGTGCTGTTCTCGGGAAGGAGCTGGGTGCCACCACTTTCTCTGCTCAGGATGGGTGCTGTCTCTTTAGCAACTTGCTACAGAACAAGCGCAGAATGCTCGTTTTGAGTTTTGCCTTTTTTTCTTTTCTTCTTTTTTTTTTTTTTAATTTCGAGGTCCTTGGTTACCGTAACAAGAGCCCCAAGGGGCCCAGACACCCGAGGTGGTGACAGTGCGCTCCTTTTCTCCCTCAGGTGTTACTGCCATTATTTTCACTTCCACTACTGTATCGAGATGGGAGTAGAATCTTAAAGAAGGGCTTCTTGGGACTTGCCTTTTTTTCTTAAAAGCAAATGCTTTGTTTTAGTTAGGGAAACAGGTTTTAATGCACCTCTTTCAAAAAAGTGAAGTAGTATAAAGAGAAATTTTGAAAAGTGGGAGATACCTATGTGGGAGTGTGTGTAATACAGAATTAGATGTGTAGCTGTACATATTTCTCAATATAAAGAACTGCACTTAATTCTCTTTACAGAGAAGACATTTATTAATCTTAATAGAGACTCTTATTCCTCTCACAAAATCAAACATTTAAAACCCTGTTTATGTCTAGCAATGACTTATCATGTACCCATCAATGTTTAACTATCATCCAACTTTCTGTAAGCTAAAAGAACCTATTTGCCATGGCCTTAAATATTATTATAGCCACAGCAGGCAAATCAGGTGTGTGAAATTCTCTACGGAGTTCTGATTTATTGGATATTTCTGAATTAATATGCTACATTAAACATTATCATGAGGATAAAATCATCAGCATTGCTAAAAGGACAGTGTGTCAATGAGTATAAACATGAGAATCATGCTTCCATCTTGGCCTTTCTGCATTTCTCACTCTGATTTCCCAGCACAGAATTCCTTTAAGTTCAGTATGAAGGGTGGGAAGTGATATGGGTGGGTTTGAGACTACAGATCCAAAATTCAATTCCATACACTTCTGTGAGTAAATTAACTATTCTCCCAAATGCAAGTCTTATCATTTCTAGAATCGCAGATGTGAATGCAGGACCGACTTATTGGTCAATATCATTTATGTGCTCAGAAGTTGTCTCCTTCATTCGAGTGTAATTTAGTCAACAATTAAACGAAAGGTAGTGAGATATGTAACTAAGTGAATACAATTAGAATCACTTAATCAAGGAAAAACTTGCTGTTTTTTTAATTGTAAGAACACAGAATGTTTTATTTTACTTTTTTTTTAATGAAGTACTTTTCTTTGGTGTTTGTTTTTCATATTTTCTCTTTTTAATGCCTAACATTTCCAGATGTGTGAAGAAACAGCATATTTTCATTAATCATTCTCTTCTTGTTTATAGTCCTGAATATTTATTCCTCATGTTTTAGCTCTCCTTCTACAAGGGAAATCTCCCTCTTTGGCCTCTAGATTCAACTTTAACCTCCTTTTTCAACTATTTAAACATCTTTCTGTTTTCTGAGGGCCTGGCATACAGTATATATTTGGGCATATCAGCCCTATTAATAACATTTTAATTTAGTTGGGTGATGAAGTCCTTCACAATTGTGATTGAGTATACTTATTTGTTTCTTCCAAAGCTTTTACTAGAGTGGTGAGCAGGTAGTAGATATTCAACACAAATTTACTAATTAACTTTACTAGAAAGTATCAGAAACAGAGACAGGTCATCAACACAAATTTTATGTTTGGAGGGCATTTACCTATCCAATCTTCATATGCCATGTAAAAGTCAGATAACTTACACCAGAGGGACAAATTGTGACTCATCACTCCAGAATGTCATGAAGTCTTTCTAATGTGCTAACTTGAAATTTCTCTAAAAAATGGAGGAATTTAATTTTATGAGACTATATACATTTTTCTTGAGGTAAGCATGTTATCATTTTGAAGATACTTTCATAATGTCAAAACAATAAATCAGATATTTCAGAGCTTATCTGTGGGTTAAAGGAACTAAATTTTATTCTGAACACATTCTTATTTGAACAAATGTTTACTGAAGTTAGTAAACAGGGTCGTTCCCTCTAAGAGTTGAAGAGGAGGCAGGAGAGGTAGATGATCAGAGCAACAGGAAGAAAACAGTTACTCTTGAGGATGGTTGATTTTTAACTTGTTTGCTTGCATATCTATGGTCTCTACATGACACAAGTGCAAGAGTAAAGGAGCAAGGTGGCAGTCTTCCTTCAAAGTGAGCTCATTATGCATCCTTGCATCACAGCATCTAGCATTTATAAGCCACAAAAGCATGATTATATTGAGAAAAGAACATGTTTGTTTTTAAATGATACCTGAATGAAGTACTTGGTGTTGAAGTGTCCCACAGTAAAAACTAAAGATGTGTGAACATATAAAATAAAGCAAATGGCAAAATAACAAAAAAATATTCTTTTGTGCTTCTTCAGAGATATTATACAGATCAAGATAAAGTTAGATCTGGTTAAATGATAATGATAGTGAGAAGATTGCTGTAAACAGTTCCAAGAGACGATGCTGGTGTTATAAGACAGTATTCCCGGGCTAAGATTTTCACTGCATCATTAATTCGATACAAAATTCCATTACATTTCTTTTGGAATAGAGCGTAAGCTCAAGGTAGGATATGGTGCAGGCAAGTATCTTTTTGTTTGGCAATTCTATTTGATAAACAGCAGTGGATTGGCAAATCTTTAAAGTTGCAGAGAATCTAGAACTTATGTACCTTTAAATTTTTATTTATACTTACTTTATTAATAATAGTAACACATTTGATCTTTTTTCTAGAGAAAACCTAAGCATTTAGCATGAATATATATTTTTACGTCCTAGAGATTAATGAAGCTTTTTTTAAAAAAACTCAAAATTATGCATTTGCCTCTCAATGACTCCACAACCATTTACCCTATATGCACATTATGTCTGGAGTACGCTGTGATCTAATATTGAATTTTATTTCTTGTAAGATCTAATTTTCTCATCTGGAAATACATTTGGAACTGAATAGCACTTCTGGTATTGAGTTCCATTGTACTTCCTCTGGCTTCGAGAAAGAAGCTGTTTTATTTTTATATTCCCTTCAACAACTTCCCCGGTGTTGGCTCTTAATCCTGTGTGTTTGCTTTGGCTTTTAGCCTTTCTTTCCTTTTTTGTTTTCTTGTCTCTGGCAAGCCTCCAAATGAGAGTCAGCAGTCAGCATTAGCCTCAAAGTATCATTTTTCCAACATGCTGTCAGAAGGAAAACTCCGCCTCTACACCCACTGACAATTACTATACAAAACTTGACTTGTGGCATCACCCATCACTTGTGAATATCTCCTTTCCACAGCTCTCATTCCTCCAGAAAATGAACCTGAGCCACATGGAGACTATAGCTATCAACCATTCAAATCCTCAAGGGGCACAGAGATCATCCTGGAAGTTAAGGCTGTTCTTCTCAACAATCCTTTTCCTATTGCTTTGCCTCTTCAGTTTACTACTTTTTCTTTTTCTCTCACTCAAGGTAAGGAGGCAACAGTACCTGAGGTTGCTATTTATTATCATTCTTTTTGTGTGTGGTTATTCTAGTTACTGTCTTTATCACTCAGTATGACTATAATTTATTGGAAGGAAGTGACATGTGAGCACAAAAAAAAAGTAAATATAGTTCTAATCTTGCCATCACATGGATTTGGAGGTTTGTCTAAGTGTTTTGAGAGGGAAAGAGTACCTGAAAGGGAAAGAGTATAAGAAAGAGCTAAAGTTGGTTACAGAGTTTAGCAATTAAATTAATTTGTCAAATGAAAAATGCCTGTAGAGTGTTTTCTCCTTTCTTGGAACCCTGTTAAACACTTTTAATTAAATGAAAATGTGTCAAACATAGATCTTGTCCTTAAAGAATATGATGCAAACTAATAATATGATTGAGGTAAAGACTTAAAAATAATGGGAGACAAAAATACAGTAATTGAAAGATCATTTGAAAGATCATTTGAGAGAGAAAGAGCAATTAACTTATGAATAAGAAGATATAGGTTCTGGTTCTAGGTCCTCCAATATAACCACATTATGAGTTGAGAAACCATTAATTTTTTATGATTGCAGATTTCTTTATCTGACAGAAATTGATGTATTGGGGATGAGTTTTTCATTCTAATATCTCAGCAAGCTATAAAATATGATCATCAGTAAGCCACCTAATGGGAGCCAGAGTATTGCCAATTAGGAGTCCAACAGAGGGAGCAATGACTTTGGACTTGGGCCTTGGGAGAAGACCTCATGGAGGCAGGAAGCACATTTCTATTTGGGAAGTCCCTGATGCTTATCAGGAATTTCCCATTGAGTTCTAGTCCAGGTTTGGTCCTAGAGAAAGGGGGTGTATAGTTAGAATCAGGTTAGGTTCTTAATAGCAGCTTTTCTTGCTGTTGACTATGTAGTACTGCCTGAAAGGAAGTTTGTTGTCATTGTTACATGCCATCGAGTCAACTGCGACTCATAGCAACCCTATGAAAGTAACTGTTGTTGTGTACCATCGCGTCAGAATCAACCTATAACTGACCCTCCAGAGGGTTTTCAGAAGCAATTTAACAGCAAGGGAGGAGATTGTCCATCCTTCTTCAGCAGAACAGCTGGTAGCTTTGAATGATGTGTCTTTGGGATTGCAGTGCAGTTTCTTACCACTAGGCTGTTAGAGCTCCCTGGCATCACTTTAATTAGGGCAAATGTAGCCACAATTTTACACAAGAATCCATTAATTTGTGTACCATAAGTGTATAAAAAGGTGTACAAAAGAGTAATTTAAAACCATACTTTTGATTTTTCAAAGAATGCATAACACTGAAGATCTAGATTCTAGATCTAGCTAGGCGTTTCAAGAATCCATTGTATGAATTTGAGAAGATCATTTAATTTTTCTGCTTGCAAAGTTTCAGGTGAAAAAAATGGCAGTGAGGGAAATTCTGGTGCCCTAGTGGTAAGAAAGGGCACTGCAATCCCAAAGGCACCCGGTTTTAATCCACAAGCTACTCTGTGGGAGAAGGATGGGCATGGGTAGTCTCTTCCCGTGACATTAACTGTCCCTGAAAACCCACTGGAGGGTCACCTGTGAGTTTATTTTGACTGGATAGTACACAACAACAAACATTTAATTTTTCTGTTTACAAAGTTTCATGTGAAATAAAAAAAAGCAGTGAGGGGATGGATTTGTTCATCCTGATGTCTCTTCTGGCTCTAAAATCTAGTGATCATTCATTTTCTTGAGTGCAACACAGAGCAAGACAAAAGTATGAGTTCTAGAACAGAGAGGTTTTGCGTAGAAAGAAAAGAATTACTGGAGATTCTGAGCATTTAGATTTGGGGAAAGGGAGAAGGGTGAGAGTAGCAATATCTTACTCTTGGAGGTGCTTTTTCCTCTATCATATTTTGGAATATATAGTTCTCATCCATTTTGTCTCTAAGAAACCAATGCATAGAACAGTGAAATGCCATTTTCAGAAAAACGCCACATGGTTGCTCTTGGAAAGAAACAGAGGAAGACTAGTGAAGCCAAAGGCATCTGTAGTTGTGTACCATAGAGTTGGAACTGACCCATTGATAACCATTCAGTGGGTTTTCAGAGGAAGTTAATCACATGAGAGGAGATTATCCATCCTTCTCCCATGGAGCAGCTGGTGGCCTTGAACCACATGTCTTTGGAATTGCAGTGCAGTTTCTTGCCACTAGGCCACAAGAGCTCCCCCATCTAGGACAGAATTTAATCATCCCTGTGTCTTTGAACTCTGATCTTGGATTCTGTATCCTGGAGAATATATAACTTCTTAATGGAAAGCCCTGTTTCTACAGATGTAAAGTTTGTTCCAAATTTGGAGCAATTTACTACTTGTACTAAGTATTATCTTGACAGGATAGCATGGAGACTGTACTTCCCATGGGAAAAGGCCAGTGACCTATTAAAAAAAAAGTGATGAAATCTGTTCCTGCATCTAATTTCCCATTTGCTTTCTCTTCCTTTAACTTCCACAAAGAAGTATCTTTGGGAAGGAGGATTAAGCAGCTGGGGGATGGCAAATCATCTTGAGGTGGCCACTGGCCACTTCTGCCTCTTCACAATACCCTTAAACTTTGGGGTTTTGTATTGTTTTGGTTTCTCCTCTAAATTTTTCTCTATACTTTAGCTTCTCTTGTCACTAATTTAAAAAAAAAAAAAGAAGAAGAAGGAAAGACAGGAAGCCTAGTTTCCTTCTTGACCAACTGAGAAATTGCCTTAGGACAATTTTCTTATTTCAGAAGACTTTCAACTGGAGGAACAGGTTAGCCGCCCAAGTAATTTGGTTCATTTCCCAGGAAAAAATAACCTATTAGAGGTTGTGTCTAAGAAATGGAATGATCAGACGAGACCATTGCTGAGACTTTGATATAAGGAATCTGTGTTTTGGCTTCACATAGTAGATTTCATTTCAAAATGATTTGATGATTTAATTAGGGTTGATTTGGAAAAAAAATTACTATGTTTTATATTCTTTCCTTCCAATTATGTGAATCTTGTCAGAAATAAAATGACAACATATCCCTTGAAGTAAAAGAAATGAAGCTTAAATGGAAGGTTTTATTGATGCTTTTATTTTTAAAATAAGGGCTATTTCCTCCTTCCAAACATCACCAGAAATATAAACAGAAACTCTCCTACAGAGTAGTAGGGATAAGACTATTGGGTCAGACAAGCTGGGTTTGGATTTTAGCCCAGCCTCTTAATAGCTGCATGACTTTAGGCAAATTACTTAACCTCTCACATTCTCTCTTCATTGTCCTTAAAATCAGTATAATAATAATAATAATTATATGGTTGCTGTAATGATTAAAACTATATGCCTGAGAAGTAATAGACTCTTAGTAGATGTTCACCTACCCTTACCTACTGCCTTTGAGTGAATTCAGATTCATGATGCCTCTGCATAAGATTTCTGATGTTGTCAATCTGAATGGGACTGGAGACTACTCACATTTCTCCCATACAGTGGCTGATGGGTTTAAACTGCCAAACTCTCAGTTAGAAAGATTACATATTACACTGTGATACTAAGACTTCTCAATATATGTTGTTGTTGTTGTGATGTGCTGTCGAGTCGTTTCCGACTCATAGCGACCCTATGCACAACAGCTCTAAACCCTGCTCTATCCTGCGCCAACCGCACCGCCTCAGACACACCCATCCCGATTACCCCAGTCACCGAATCAATCCATCTCATAGAGGGTCTTCCCCTCCTGCGCTGTCCCTCC